GGTTTTATATAGTTGGGAATGAAAAAAGACCATGCAATGCATGTATAGAGGGGTGCACTTATCTCTTAAATCCCAAGTTCGGGAATGAATGTGAGCATGCATTTAGAGAGGGTGTGCATTTATGGGGGGGGTTGACTGTATGTTTGTAAATCATATGATGTGGGACACCCCAAGGTAGTATGGTAATGATTATAAACAAAATACTCTTATACAGAGGTTTTTTGTTAGTAAAAAATCTGGACCAAAAAATTGTATGATTATATAGAGGTCTGACTGTACTTGGAATTAGTAATTAATAATTAGTAAGCAAGTAAGACAGAAGGTAGCATATCTTATTGGACAAAATAGAGTAAAAGCCATGTTATTTGTAATACCCTAAGAGGTATAAAAAGACTTGGTTTGAGACCAAGTTAAAATCATCATGTTCATATATAGAACAATCTTCTGAATTATTGATCAAATAATTAACACCTTTCTAATACTCTAACCACATTGTAATAATAATATTATCAATGATAATACACATAACATATTTACTCTAAATAATTATTGACCTTTGATTTAATTACCATATTCTCTGGAATATAAGCACCACCATTTTGACATGTTTTGTCAACAAAACTGTGGGTGGTGCATATATTCAAGACATTTTATTTCAGATAATTTGTGTTACATTTATATGGGGATGAAAATGAAAATGAGGAAGATGAACATGAAATATTAAATAGAAATGATGATTCAGCTGATGAATTAGATGAATTAGAAGAGGAGGAGTCTGGTGATTCTGGAAAAGAATAGTCAAAATAAAAAATAATTCAAAATATATGTGGTGCTTATATTTATTTTTCTATTTTTTTGTTTTTTCATTACAAATTCATACTGGTGCTTATGTTTGAGTGGTGCTTATATTCCAGAGAATATGGTAATCATTTGTTAATTAATAAACTGATAGAGAGAAACCTTTACTGGGTCCAGCAACAAACCATAACAAAATTGAGGGTGAAATAATTGATTCAACTGATTTTGATATTATCTACCATGGCTTAGACCCTCAAAAAATGTGGACCCTAAAATCTGCCCTATGGTTGGCTCTAAGCATGTTAGCCAAAATCGGCTCTCTTAATAAATGATCATCACCTAATCCAAAATGCTGAAATAGTTTTTCATAGATGCCGAAATTAATCTTATTAGTTGCCAAAATTATATCTGAAATTATTTGAGCACTTTAACTAAATAGCTGAAATTCTGGATAGTATTTTATGCCTATAGATATAAAGAACATTGTAAATCTGAAATTGCTTGCTGAAATTATTTTTTCAAAATCTATTTCAGCTAACATCCTTAGTTGGCTCAGTCTAAAGACCTCCTATTGCTGCGCTATGCAGCCAAATTTCAAAAATAGCAATTTTGTAATTCGTTCAAAAATGTAATAAAATTTTTCAAAAAATAGGACTTCATGTAATTTTAGTTTTCTTACTGCCAAATTTAGATACGATAGTCAAGAACTAGTCTAAATTTGGTAAATTTTTTCCTAAATTTAGAAATGATCATAGCGTACAAGCATAGTAAAGTACATGTTTTAAAAGAATAGAACTCCACAACAAATAATTTTTTTGAGAAAATCTCTCTATTACATTAAAACTAAAGACATATTCTATCAACTAATAGAGCTATTTTTTTAAAAGGTAGGACAGAAAATGACTTCTATACTTTTAAAATTTGCCCAAAATTTAGGAGGTCTTTAGACCAAGCCAACTATAGTTTAACAGATGTTAGTGATACTGGATTTTAAAAAATAACTCTATGTTGTATAGCACCATCACAACTAATTTAATAATTACATTATTCCTGTTATCTTTATTTTTATTCAAATATTGTGTCAAATCAATTCCAATTATATATTTACAATTAATATTATGATGAAAATTTCTTTTTATTAATTGGTTAATTTAATTTTCAATTTGAATTCATTTATTGTTTGATTTAATATTTCTTCTAAATTATCAAAATAATTATTAGTAATTATTATTACAATTGAATTATATATTAGTCTATCAAAAATGTATGTATGTCCTAAGTAAACTACAAATTATTAATCATTAAAACTTTTAAATGTTTAGGATCACAATAATATATAAATAAGGGAAGTTTGACTTAAGTTGTAAGAATAAAAATTAAAAATTTAATAATAAATAAATAAAATAATTAAATATAAAATCCGGGGTAAAATTCTTTAAATAAAATGATAATCAATCCTAGGCACTTATTGGTTGAGCAAGAAAACTGATATACATTTGAGAATTCTTCAATGGATGCCCCAAATTTAGTTGTACATTTGGGATTTGGGCAGCATGTATAATCACAATAATTTAATTCAAGAATTGATAATCTACCTGATGACTGTCTGGTTGTTTCAAAGGATAATTTTAACAATTACTTTGGTCCTATATTTTCATCACAATTAGTTTTTGGTATTATGAATAATCTCAACCTTAACTCTGCAATGAAATCAAGATTTCTAATTCAATACCTGAAATTAATGATAATATGGCTGAGGCTATTTGCAAGAAAAGGCCATATTATGATATTGATGATCTTATTAAGAAAAATGATAAATATGGTAGAGAAAGAAGCTTCAAACAAAGTTGAAAAATTGTCATTTACTCCATATTCACTCCTTGAGAAGCTAGAACATAAGTGATGATAAATATTTATAAAAAAACATTTTTTTCACCTTTTCCAACAATATTTATTAAAATCAAAAAGTTTAATGATTATGATAATTTTTTACCATACATCCATTTTAACCATAGATCATTTTTTAAATAATAACACTTACCTGAATCAACTTCTCTCTCTCTTTTTTTTTCTTGTATTGTTTTTTTTTCTAAATGAAAAAAAAAAAATAAAAGAAATTAATTAGCATACATAATGATGCAAAAAATTGATTAACTAAATTGTAATTCTTGGGTTCCAAACTTTTGCCTATTATGAATAAAAGCTTGAAAGAATGAACTTTTTGAATTTTTCCGGAAAAATTAAATTTTTATCAACTTATAAAATTTTTTTTATAGAGTACAGTGAATAATTTTTTTATATAGAGTACAGTGAATAATTTTTTTATAAGTAAACTTTTGAGCCTTAACAATTTTTGTGCACAAAAAATTTCCTGAACATTTCTTATTTTTTTTGTTTTAACAAATAAAGAAAATTCATACAATTTACTCTTTATTTAAAAAAATATCTTCGTTTTCATGATAGTTTTTAAAGCAATTTCTGTTACTATTGCAACATAATGGGACATTGCATAATTTACACCAAAAATTCAATACTAGAGCTTTTTGCTTGCTTTTTAAAAACAAGTATCTACATAACATACATGAAAGTCTTTCCATTCTCCACTCTGCAAAATGATTACCTGTAATTAATCTATCTTTAGAAGGTTGAGATTTAGCTGTTATATGAGGTAATTTTTGGCTTGGAAGAGAGGAATTAGGAATGGTTTGTTGACTGTATCATGTTGATATCCCTAAATTCATTTTTTCTTTCAAAACATCTTCTATCAACTCCCATAAAAATTGAGATCTAAAGACTTTGTGAGGTAAATCATTGGCTATTAAGTTACTTCAATTATGAATTAAATAAGAATTAATTATAGCTGTGTCAAGCAACCAAAAGAATAAAGGGACCCAAGTACATCTTGCAGTTAATTGTGTTGAATAATAGCTTCTTAATTGATCCACCACATCAACTCCATTCATCTTATGATTATAATCATCAATTACAGCAGGAGTATCCATAAGTTTTTTTGATTGATCACCAAAAACTTCAGTTATGACTCTTCAATTTATATTATTAATTCTTGGGCAATGATGAATTTTAGCAACTTTGGAACTTTTTCCTGGAATTGTGGTAAGCATTGTTACAGGACCATTATCTATCCATAAAAGAGCCAAAACTTCAACTTCAACACCAGAAAGCATATTCCAAGTTAAATTCATCTTCTCCTTTGGTCTTAATATACTGGGAAATTTGGCTGAATTTTTATGAACTGTGCAACATGCACCAATCCCTCTATCTCTTAAGTATTTGAATAAATTAATGCTTGTGAAGTAATTATCCATGTATATGTTAAAGGCAATTTTTTTATTAAATGAATAACTTCACTATCAATTTTACTTAATCCCAGAATTTTTTTAATATTCAGATTTTTGTCAATTCTGAAAGAGAATGTAAAAGTAAAAGTATAGCCAGCATCACACAATGATAAAATTTTATATCCTTCAAAGTTGATTTATTTTTTATTCTAAAAGTTTGAGCAGTTCTTCCTGAAAATCTTGCAATCATTTCATCAATGGAAACACTTGAAGTTGGTATATAAATATATTCAGGAATTTTTTTTACTTGTTTGGCCAAAGGCTCAAGTTTTGGAAACCAAGTGGATTGATTTTGAGTATTCTCATTCAGATTTGAGATATGAAAATACCTTTTAATCAGATAAAAAAAATTTAGTTTCAAATTTTTTTAATAAAATTAAAACATATGTGTGTGGTAATTTTACCTGTTCAAATCTGTATAGGATATATATTGGGTTATTTTATGTTTAGGAAACCTGTCATTCAAATTCCAATAATCATCAACAGATGGAAATTTAAAAAG